AAAAAAACCACTCAACTTTCAAATCAAAGACATGCAAATGTATTGTATTCCTTAGGAAATCTAAAAATAAATAAGGGCATTTTTGTCCATTTTTGCTTCTTTTAAGATTTTTCTCTCTCCTTTTGCTTTTTCCAAAATGTCCCTTTTTTTTTTTGGTTGAAACCTTGGTGTGCTAGGCCTTCGGTAGGTTCCAAAAGTTTGGGTGTGAGCTCATGAGGACCTGGGTCATGGGTTTTGGCTGAGCCATAGGTGGCTGGGGTTTTGTGTGCTTGGGGAGAAAAATTTCAAAAAGTAAAGAGCCGGGCTCTTTAAGTTTGTGCCTGGAGCTGGGACTTAGGAAATTATTTTTCAGTTATTGGAAAAGACCTGGGGTCAACAGGCTGGGCTTTTTGTGTAGGCACGGGAGCTGTGAGTATTGGCCAAGGATTTGAGGAGCTGGGCCATTTTGGAGCTGGACTAGTTTGAATTGTGGTGAGCCATGCAAGCCATGCAATTTTTTTTTTTTTTTTTTTTGGATGGCCATGTGGCATGGGCTTGGGGAAAATTTGTGAGCCTCTTAAATATAGTGGCTTGGGCTGACCAGTGTGCAAGGGCTGGGCCCTTATTTCTTTTGCATGGGGCTGGGCCCTTGAGTAAAAAGCTGTGCCTTGAGGAATAATGGGTTGTCTTTGCTTTGGTAAGATGGCCAAATATGAATTGTCTGTGCAAGTTCTCCATGCTTCGGCAGGTGGTTAAAAAAGAAAAGAAAAAAGGAATAGGTCTTGGCCAAATATGAATTGGCAAAAGGTATTGTGAGTATCTCTCAAGGGATTTTGAAGCTGGGCCCCTCCAAGTGTCTTCAAGGCTTGGCTCAAGTTGCTAGGTTTAGATGAGGATTGGTGTGCCTCCTTTTTATTTGTTTTACAGAACCTGCCGTTCGGCAAGTTCTTCAATTTGAGCACAACTTAGCTTCGGCAAGGCTGGGTCAAAATATAGGCTGGGTATATCGTTTAGCTCAGCCAACCAGATTGTGACAGCTTGATCCGTCACTTGGCGTTGCTCTGCATCCTCAAGCTTCAGCAAGGTCCTTGCCGTTCGGCAAGGACACGGGGAAGGTTTTGGTTGTGAGCTTCCACAGCTTCGGCAGGTTCAGACCTAGCATTCGTTGAGTTTCAGTCCCCATTCTTCTTCCACCCAGCCCCTTTCTTGAATCTGGAGGTTGCTGGACCCTCTGAAATTTGGTGTTGTTGTGGTTGAAGCTTCGGCAGGAGTGGGTGAAGCTAGAACTTGGGTCTGGGTAGGCTGAGTTTGGGCTAGGAAGTTCTCGGTGGTTGAGCATTTGCAGCTTTTCCGCCTTTGACAGGTCCTTCGTTTTACTGTTGCACGACCCTTGCGGTTCGGCAAGGGATTTGCGATTGGCTGAGCTCGGGAGCCTGGGGCCTTGGCTGTCGAGAAGACTGTGAGGTCTCACAAGCGTGGCAGATCCGGTTGATACGTGCTGAAACCGTGGTGAGCTTAGTCACCGAGCCATGTCTTCGGTCAGGAGAGCTGGGCTGTTTCGGCAGTTTTGGTTGGTGGGTGTCCTGGTCATTTTTGGATGTGAACCTGGGGTGTCTTGAGCATTTGGAGCTGGGTTCGTGTGATTTGTTCTTCAAGGGCAGTGGCTGCGCTCGGCAAGGGGTGAGAGCAGGGGGCCTGGTCTTCGAGACAAGCTGGAGCTGAGTCCGTGGCATCGTCACCATTTGTTCGTGGAGGGGTTTCCTTCAACCTCTGCACAACCCTTGCCGTTCGGCAAGGGTGGGTTGGGATTTTTCTCGCAGTTTCGGCAGGGGTGCTGTGGGTTCGGTGGCTACAGGAGCTCTCCTTCATCCATTCAACGGCCCTTGCCGTTCGGCAAGGGTGGATTGCTTGGGCAGCTGGGCTGGTATCGGCAAGACTTGGGGGCTAAATGGTTTGCTCGAATGGAGCTAGGCCTTCGGCAAGTTTAGGCTACACGAGCTGGATCTCTTCGAGTCTCTGGTCTTCGGCAGTTTTGCGGCAAGGGGTTGAAGTGAGAAGGGCTGCTATGGTCCGTCGGCACCACGAGTGATTGAGGCTTCTCCCAAAGTTCTTCCACGGAGGTTGCCGTTCGGCAATTGAGCTGGGCTCGTTCCAGCTTCGGCAAGGGTGCTAGTTTTGGCCCCTACTTGGGTCCGGGCCCTTGAGAGCTTGATTCGCTGAACTTTGCCGTTATGGGTGGCTTGAGCAATTAGTGACTCCTCTGTTTTGAGCTCGTTGGAAGTTTAAGCTAAGCCATTTGTAGCTCGACCTTCGGCAAGCCTGGGTTATCCGTAGCTGGGGTCCTTGGCAGAGCTGTTCTGGAACAAATTTGGGGCTGGGACAGTGCAAGAGTAGGCGGAGCTGGGCTTTCCTTGTGACCTGGGTGTCTAGATCAAATCATGGCTCCTCCGTCTTGGGTTGGTT